CTTTACCAAACTCTTCATTCCAGAAACAATTTAATAGAATTGGTATGAGATGACTTTGTTATTTGCAAGGTTCAGGGGGAGTGTCCTCCTGAACGATAAACTGTTGAGATCTCAGGATCATTCATATTGCATTCTTTTCCTTTATGAATCTTTTCTATATGGTTTCTCATAGAAGGGTTATAATGAGACAATAGTAATACAAGCATCGGGATAAGACAATTTTCTATTTATTTTCCCATTGGGTTTTTGTGAGGAGTTTTTCATGGCATATTATGTATGTTTTCTCATATTTTTTCACAGGGTTTTTGGAGTTTTTCAAGAATGACGAAGGTACATGGACAAGCGTAGATTAGGGGGAGTATTGAGATTTAATTAGCACACACTAATTAAGAGATAGTCGACACTTATAACCGACATGCGGTTTCCCTGTGAGGCGGGCACGCACCCCCCTATTCTCTAGGGAACCGACGCATCACTTCGTTGCTTCCCTACGAAACGTCGCGCCTATGCTATGCATCCTCTCATGGGTATATATTTGTACTCCATCATTATCAATGAAAAAGCTTCTTACTGATCATTCGAACTGTTTCACCACAATAATTATGTTCGTTTCGTAGCTTCAAACTATCTAGTAGGCAACCCGACGACAAGTGAAAGCCTTGATGAAAGCTCTAAAGTGTCATATGCTCATGAATTCGGCATTATACCATGTCAATTATATGAGGCAATTAAACACATGTAGATCCATTATGCCCATATATCTGCATGGACCAGAAATTTCAGCACTTGGAGTGGTATGCGTGTTATTCTCTCTTTCTGGCCTTCAACTAGTTTGGGTGGCAATTTAATAATAGATTATTATGTTTGTAGTCATGTAATCTTATTATCTTCTGGTGATGCCTTTTTCTTTCTTTCTGCATGTTAAACCAATGCATTACATTTATTTGGATACTTTAATTATTATGGATGTATGCCTCACAAATGATGCAACAGTCGAGCAAACTGTGTGTCTTTTGTGGTCAAGATGAAAGTATTGATCATATGTTTTTACATTGCTCGATTGCTAGGCTTATCTAGAGTTTGTTAAAATGTGCCTTTGATCTTAATTCAATTATGTTAATTTGCGTGACTGCTTTGGAAGGTAGCTTAGAGGCTTCTCGAAGGATAACAGAAAATTGATTTTGGTTGGCATTGTTGCGATATTTTGGACTATTTTGAGATCGATGTATAAATGATATAATTTTTGAAAGAAAAATAATCAATGATCCTATGATATTGATTAAACGATGTGCTCGTGGATTATGGGATGGTCCATTCTGCGGATAAAGGAGGCATGCCAAAAGGTGTTGATTCCGGGGGCAAAGCTCATCGAGCGAGTAGCTAGTGAGGCTACCGTGCTTTGATGGTTGGAGGCCGGGAGTCATGCAGATGTGTGTCTGATGTTGTTGTATTTTCCTTGAAGACCTCTACTGGTGTGGTGAGCTGCCTTATCATGTTCCAGTTTGTTTTGCTGACCTCCTGTCTAGTCCATAACTATAATGAACTTAGTCTATTGCTGTGCCTTCTTTTCATCGTGGCTTGAAGTCTGGGGTTCCAGCCTTTGTTGGCTCGAACCCTATGCTAATCATGCATGGTCGTTCTAATGTGGATATTCGCATCCTAACAACGTACTCCCTTCGTCCGAAAATATTTATTCGAGAAATGAATGTATCTGAATGTAATTTAGTTATAGATACATTCATTTGTATTCATTTATACGACAAGTATTTTCGGACGGAGGCAGTAAATAGCTAGTCAGTCCTTTTCCAAAATAAATAAATAGCTAGTCAGTCTTTTGAGTCGCTAGTAGTTGTAGATCTACATTCTGCATTTCTGCTGTACAAACCAGATGATTTCTTTGGCAGAAATACTTCGACTCACCTGGCTGATAAAAACGCTCACGTCGACCGCCTCCACAACCATTCGATTCGCTTTTGAACAAGCCACCACATTAATTTATACCATAGGCTAGCTTTGCAAAACATGGCCTTTGTTGCAAGGAAAAAGTCCAAAACAAACATTGAATTTGCAGTCGAAAACTAAATGAAACCTTGAAATCAGTACACCAAACTCTCTGATCCCGGTCTATTTTTAACCTTGACAGAATTTAACCGGTATTAGCTGAGTTGGGCCAGCCCATTAGCGCAGTCTCTTGCGCTTTGTTTTTTTATTTTTGTTTATTCTTTGGTCTCTTTTCCTTCGTTATACTTTATTTTTTTGCTGGTTTTATCTGGTTTTTATTTCTTCATTATATTTTTGGTTTCTTTTGTTTCTTTCTTGATTTTCTTCATATTGTTTTCTTTTTCGCTTTTGTTTCGTTGCTTTACCGGTAACCGGTTTTATTTTTTACACATGCCTAATTATTCTCAGTACCCAATGTAAATTTTTAGCGCAAATATTTTTTGATACACTTTCAACATATTTCAGATACATTATTTACATTTTTAAAAATACATGTTTTCAAAAAAAAATGAGTGCATGATATAAAACTACATGAATAGTTTTTACATACTTACACATTTTTTAAATTGTATACAATTTTTTCAAACACATGTCACGTATATTCTTTTAAGCGTATGAGAGATTTTTTTACATCAGCAAACCTTTTTCCATTGTATACACTTCTTTCTGAAAATATCACAAGCATATTTTTTGAAACTCATGAACATTCTTGAAATGTTACATTTTTTGAATGGGTGAAACATTAGTTTGAATCACACAAATATTATTTACATTGTACATTAATTTTTTTAAATGCCACATACATTTTTCTAAACACGTGATATTTTTTAGATGTCAAAAACATTTTTTACACATTTGTTTAGGCTCAAATTTTGTTCCCATTTTTAAAAAAAATCTAAAAAGTGCTCAGACTTTCAAAAAAATCTGGTTTCAAAAAAAATTTATGTTTCAAAAAGTGTTCGCTTTTTCAAAATTGATTGTTTTCCAAAAAATAGTTTTTTAAGTATTCAGAATATCTAAAAAGTGCTCATACTTTATAAAATGTTTAGAAATTTCCAAAATTGTTTACGTTTTCAATATTTGTTTGCCTCAAAAAAATGTTTTTGAAGTTTGACGCTTCGGTGTCTTCCAAAACACAAATAATTTAAAAAATTCCAAAAACATTATTTCAAAAATCTGACACAATTATTGAAACTCCGAAACATTTTTCATAGCATGTGAAAAACTGTTGGAATTCTGAACATTTTTTAACAAATGTGATTTTTTTGTAATCATGGATAGTTTTTTTAAAAATGTGAATAGAATTTCAAAATTTCAAACATTTTTTCCAAACATAAAAGGAAATTGTATTTGTGCAAAAAAAAAAGAAAACATGAACATGTTTTAACTTCTGAATAATTTCAAATATGCGCGAACATTGTTTAAACTTCAGGAATTCTGGTTGTGGTATAGTGGGCCGGCCCAAATTCTCGTCCATGAGAGTAGCAGGTTATCCCGGTTGGGATTGTTGTATTCCCGCGTGCCAAACAGATCTAGGTCTAAAATAGACCGGGATTACAAGTTCGGAGTGCCAATTTCAGGGATTCAAAGTTTAGGGTTTAATTTAGCTTTCGTCTACAACTTCAAGGTTTATTTTGGACCTTTTCATTGTTGCAATCCCCTTCAGCGCAACAAGAGGTGTGGTTGGCCGGAGCGCTGTCGCAAGGGCGGCTACGGCTCGCGCGCGGGCTAGGCTAGAGGTACCCAAGCTGAGGCAGGTGGAGGAGGCGGCCCCAAGCCGTGGCAGGTGGACGAGGTTGCTTGGCGGAGGCGGCTCATGGGATCTGCCCACGATGGGTGGAAGCGAGGTGGCAGAGCGGACGCTGAGGGGTCAGAGGCGCTACGCCCAGAGGCAACACGACCGAGGTAATGCATGGCGTCGTCGCCGCCGTAGAACACGATCCCGACGACGGGGTCTCCAGGAAGCAGCGGATCGAGCCGGCGGCGCTCATGATCTGCAGGGAAGGCGCGAAGGTTAGGGAAGGATCTTGTTGCAATTCCAAAGGCTTTGTTGCAATGGCAATATTGACGGCCGTGGGCCGGATATGCACTACGAGTCTATGACAAGGGTCCTATTGCAACTACCACAAGGACTTTGTTGCAATTGAGGAAAATCGTACTGTAACCATCATAGACGGACGGCTCATGACCCGGCCGATCTTTGAAGAAGATCAGTGGACTGACGCGTAGCACGCTCCTTTGTTTATATGAAATCAAAATATATAAATTAGACCTTTTTTGGAGTAATGATATCCAGCGAATGTTCCTTGAAAGAACGGCATTTTTGAATGTTTTTCGTGGCAATTTATGTTCCTAAAGAAATTGTCATGAAAGTTCGCAAATGTCATGTTCCCCAGGGAAGGGTCTTTTTTTAAGGGAAAAAAATATGAACCAGACCGTAAGGATCGCATTATTTCTTTTAACCAGAAACCGTAGAACAATAGTTCTATGGTAATTTCATTAAAAACAATATATACAAGGTTACAAAATACAAAAGAGAGAAACTAACAGACTAACCAATCCCAGTTCTAGGAAAATCCATGACAAAAGGATGAACTCAAATGTGCTTCAGTCCACTGACTAAAAGCTTCTCTGTGCTTAACTCTCACTCTGAGAATGACCAATTGTAAATCCCTGGCAAGAGCTGTTTTCCAAGACTGAACGGAAGGAGCTTTTGCTTCAAAAATCTTTGCATTTCTCTGAATCCATATGTGCCAGCATTGCCATGATGGTGATATCTGTTGCAAAACCAGCAGGGAATACCTGAATCATGTTCATAAGTTCATCAATACGGATCGCATTATTGATGGACCGCCACGGCAGGTGGTGTATATGGGCCATGCCTTGTCGCTTATCCACCACCACAGGTGACGGGTCTCGATGCCATGGACGGGCGGCCTGTCATCAACCTATACCAGCCTCTTACAGATAACAACCAAAATATCGCAAAAGGAAGTAGAATGGACGGGCTGCTGCTGCTCTGCTTCTTCCTCTGGACCGTGGTTACCACGGGACAGTTCGCCGTCGCCGGCGCAGCCTCCAGCTCCAAGGTGGTGACCAGCCTCCCCGGGTTGCCGGGTCGCCTCCCCTTCCACCTCGAGACCGGGTACCCATGCCTCGCTTTCTTCTTCAGCTTATTTTTCCACGCACCAAGGCCAAGGCGCTAGGGTAGGAGGTACGATCTCCTTGATCGACTCCATCGGGTAAGTTATATAACCTGCAAATGCTCCTCAATCACAAGGTACGTGGAGGTGGACGAGGAGAACGGCGCCGAGCTGTTCTACTACTTCGTCGAGTCCGAGGCCGGCGCGGAGGACGCCCCTTTCCTCCTCTGGCTCACCGGCGGCGACCGCTGCTCGGTGCTCAGCGGCCTCACCTTAGAGATTGGTACATCTTTTCTCTCATTCTCAAGCATATTGCTCTCCGCCACTATATCATATTATTCCATACATGTGCACGACAACTGCAGGTCCATTCCAGTTCGTCCCGGAGCCTTACAATGGCACCGTACCGCGTCTGAGAATCAATCCGTACTCATGGACCAAGGTCGGTCTTGTTCTGCACATCACAGCTTGCTAGGTAGTGGCCATCGAACATACATATGCAGGTTCATTTCTTAGTTGACGGTGTCCATCTGCAGGTGGCAAATATCCTTTTCGTTGATACACCGGTTGGGGCTGGATTTTCCTTTTCAAGACGACCCGAAGGCTACGATGTCGGGGAAGTATCCACCTCGTTGCAGCTCCATGAACTCCTTCTCAAGGTATCGTAGCGACCTCGACCACTAATTAGTCTACATCGACTGAGTACTGGTTAGTTCTTTTTTCTTTGAGAGATTGAGTACTAATTAGTTCAATCCACGTGACACCGTTTAGTGGTTCACTGGCCATCCCAAGTTCCTCACAAATCCTCTCTACCTCGGAGGAGACTCCCTTGCTGGACATCTTGTACCATTTATCGCTCAAAAGATCTCGGAAGGTATGTATGGACGCTGTCTATATATTCACGCTGTATTTTTTTTTCCCCAATATGATCCGGAACTATTATAACAAAATTTCAAGCACAAAGCAGCCCCAAACATAAAAAGAAAATACATGGAGATCCCTGGACCAACGAAGGACCATTACCATCGCCAGAATGAGGTGGTGACGTGTTGTTCTTACCGCTCTTCTACTGGAGCCCGCTTGACCTTATCGATTACAACCGAGAAGTCTTTATACACCTATCCTACAGACTAGCGCCTCATAGCCACAATCGACATCGTGGAACCCTTGAATAAATCTGAAGTACGTGACACTAAAACTCGCCGGCGTGCATGCATGCCAAGAAACCATAGGGTCGCATCCTCGAGGAGATGGTAGGAATCTACGTCTGAGCTCTATTGATTCCGTCTCACCAGACGAAGTCCAGACAGTATGGAGCCTTAAAGACCATGTCAATGACGAAACGCCACTATCCGTCGAGCGCCGACTCCGCGAGGACCACACCATTCTCCACACACATCCTGATGGTATGTAGCACCATCAGAAAAGGGGTGATGCGGGGAGAATTTATTCCATGTCGACGATGATGTGGGTCTCCCCTCGTGAAGGTTGTTACTATTTTCAAAGGGTAAACCAGGGCTATTGTTCAGTAGGACATGTGAAGTAGAGAATGCCAAGGACATGCAAACCTAATGCCTCCAATGTGGCCCGAACGCAATGCGAGTGAGAACCTCTAGTAAGTAGGCCCAGTTGACATAATCAGAAGCCTTGGATATGTCTAGCTCAATAAAAGGCCCGTAGTATTTGAGGCATGCATCTCACGAATGAAAGTCTGGACATGAAGGAAGTTCTCGTGGACACATCTCTTTTGAAAAAAAAGTGCTATGGGCCTTGAATATCATGATAGGGAGCAGGGAGCCAAATGATTGTCCATCAAATTCGAGATTATTTTTAACAAGCTATGGATGAGACTGATTGGCCTGTAGTCATGCACCCCCATGACATCAGACTTTTTTGAGACTAGTAAGATATTTGTCGAGTTGACAAGCAGGCTCTTATAGTTCCCGTGAAGATTGACCATGTGGAGGATAGCCTCCACCACATCAAGTTTGATGATGTCCCAACATGATTTGAAGAATGTTCCAGTGAAACCCTCTCAGCCCAGGGCTTTAACCAGAGGATGCTACAACACAATTTCTTTGATTACCTATTCGAAAAAAGGCTCATCTAACTCGGTTAGGTCATGACGCGGGATTATTAGTTTCTATCAATGCGCTGGTTTGCCTATTGTTCATTCGTGGGACTATGCATCTAGTGATAAAATCGTGATCTATCTCCATGTCACGTTCCTGGTTCACGCGGTAGACATTTTTGCTTTCTGACGTAGCATCCCGAGCGGCCCAACACGTTCAGATGAATCTCTTTGTGTGACATAATATCCAAGGAAAAGTGAATCTTGCCAAAGAGATGGCAGTTAATTGCGCAATTGCAACTTGCAACCCATAAAAATATGGCTTACTATTTTAGATTCTTAAATGTATAATCGATTCGATTTACCTAGTTTGACTCTATATCCATGCTTTATACTCTGTAGGTATCGAAGCTGGAAGGAGCCCCATCCTTAATCTCAAGGTAACCACAATAATTTTCCCCAAAAAATCCATGGAGTATATACCTACCGCTAGGAGTTTGGGTATAATAGAACACTTTTGGTTATAAGGGTTCCAATGTACCACTATCATGTTTGTTTGTGTGGGCGGAAAATATAATCTCACAAGCCAGAGGTTAGGGCTACCACGTCATGAGTCGGAGACCCCAAGTGGCAGGGGCTTGTAATTTTTTTCCAATAATAATAAATATTACAATATTAAGCTCAATGTACACAAGAACATAATGTAAAGTGCTGGATGAGACATGAGGACGAAAAGAACTGAATTGTTAACAAAATGAAAAACAAAGGCATGACCCTCAAATGTCATGGCGAAGTGATCACCAACGACAAACAACAACAAACATCGAGACGAACCACCACCGTTGGAAACATCAACGTGTTGGGGTTGGAGAAGATGGTGACAAAAACCAGGAGAGGGGATTAGCAGCGTGATGTACGCCTATACGGTAGTGGCGAAAGAGCGATTGAGGTTGAGAAGACGGTGAAACCCTGATACCATGCTTAAACTTCAAACAGATGCAAGTGAATTTGTTACCACGTCTGGGCGACTTCTATGGATGTCATACAGAAAAAATTGACTACCATGTCATCAAACTATTATCCAAAACCCCTGTATGAGTAGGGTGATGCAAAAATAAAAAGAGTTAAGTGTGTGAACAATCTATTTAGGTGGAAGAAAGTGATCCAAAGAGGGCGGGGCCGATGAGTTTTTCCAGGAGCAGACGAACAGTGAGACAGATCAACCATGATTGTTTTATCAACTAGACGATACCCTGCGCATTGCTGTGAAATTAGATATATAGTTTCTAAATATAGTATAGCATACAAATTCAGTCCTTACAATTTAAAGTGTGGGAGATTCTTGAGTAAGCAAAAAAAAGTCTTAAGATGAAAAGTTTTGCATGTCACAATTAAATGAAATATGATTTAGTACCCACTTAAAACACACTAATGCATGTTGCATGGTAGAGGATTCTCATGCGTAGATCGAACGGATGCTAGTGGATCAAGTTAGTAAATCTAGTAGCTACAACAATTTTGATGATGTGGAAGCATGCATATTAAGATGATTAGAAGTAGTGGGAATCACTCTCTTATGTATATACTAGATGATACCCCGCGCATTGCCACGGGATTAGATATTTGATTTCTAAATATTGCACACAATATAAACTCACCCTTAAGATTTAAACTAAACAGTAATAAAATAAAAAAGTTGAACATATCATAAATTATATGTTCTGGCATTTAAAATCCATGATGCATGTTGCATGGTAGAGAGACTCTCATGTTTAGACGGATGTTAGTTGATCAGGCCAACAAATCCAATGGCTACAACAATTTGGATAATGTGGAAGCTCGCATGCGCAGAAAATAGCAATTAATGACTTATAGTAGGGCTTTATCTATAAATGATACTCCCTCTGTCCGGGTTTATTAGGCCCCTTTTTAGGTCATGATTTGACCATGGATTTTAACTAATAAAATGTAAATTATATTTCACAAAAATTATACCGTTAAAAATCTCTTTCAAATAGAAATCTAACATCATACTTTTTATAACATACACTTTGTGTTTTTTTAGTCAAATAGGAAGTCAAAGTTAAATCCAAAATACACAAGGGTGCCTAATAAACCCGGATGGAGGTAGTATATAGATTTCATTTAATGAAAGAACCTATGATCAATAATCTTTAAGTCTCAAATGGAGCCGACATGTCTTCCTTCTCATTCTGTGCGATGACCATATCTTTCACGTGGCTCCACCGGTATTCCCTCTTTTTGCAGTTTATTAGGGCATGTACAATGGAGGCAGCACCATGTAGCTGCCCCATCTGCCATGTAGGTTGCAACCACCGTATAATTTTTCTATCCCCAAAGCAGCCATAGCTTGGCCGGACCACATCTCCATCATTTTCCTTAGTATCTCTCTTACTTTTTCTTTTACACATGCATCACATCTCTCACAGCCAGCTCTTCTCTTTCGCTTTATTTCACTTTTTTGGATGAAGCACCGGCCTCCTCTGCAAGATCCCGTTCTTCTCTTCAAGCACTAGCTTTTCCCCCTCTCTCTTCCACATCATCAGCTTTTTCTATGGAGCAGCCGTCCAACTTGAGCGTTGGCCATGCCCTTAGGTGCCACATAGGTGAAAAGCTAACGTAGGAAAGAGAACACTTTGATGACCCCACAAAGAAATGATGTCAACACCTATGCATGAAGAGTTTAGTTGCTAAGCTTTTTCATGCACTTAGCACCTCATCTAAGTAATTGTGCATTGGTAGAGGCCTAATCAAGGAGAACATAATAAATGTTTGAACACGTATTAGTCCAGCATGCATTGTCGGCCCTACTTCAAGCATTGGCTGATTCCATACTTAAAACCAAAATAAGAATCGAAATTAATATGACTACAATTAATGTTTTGCTTATTCTAAAAGTAAAGGTTATTACAAATTGAAAATTCTAGTCTTTTGAGATATGCCTACAAAACCAAAAGGGAGCGAGTGTTGTGGACGCTAAATGTTATATTTCCAAATTTAATGATAGTACTTCATGTTATAAGTGTGCACATAAAAGAACTCCATTGTTACCTTCCTCCGTTTCCTTTTTTACTTCACAAATAAAATTTGTCTTAAGTCAAACTCGTAAATTTTGACCAGATGATATTGATTTGGTATTGATATACAATATAAAGTTTTTTCTGTGATGCATCTAATGATATTGATTTCATATTGTGAATGTTGATATTTTTTTCGACAATCTTGGTCAAACTTGATGAAGTTTGACTTAAGACAAAACTTATATACAAAGTAGAAAGAAACAAAGGGAGTACATGAATATATCGGGTCCTTCTGTGATTATGCTCTAAATGAGCACAGCGGTGTTGTAGACCAACTACAATTGTAGCTAAAGTTAATAGTCTTTTGTTGCACACAACACATTTGTCTATACTTTAATACTCCCTTCATTTTTTCCTTGGCCTGTTAGTTTTATCTAAAGTCAACCTTTTAAAAGTTTAACCAATTTAAATATATATATATATATATATATATATATTACTATTAACAATATCAAATTAGTATCATGAAATTCATCATGAAATATCTTTTATATTATATTTATTTGGTCTCATTTATGTTGATATTTTTTAAATAATTTGATTAAATTTTATAAATTTGACTTACGATAAAACTAATATACAAAAAAAGAGTTTGTTGCATATGCATGTCATATTTATGCAAGTTTCTTCACTCTTCCAGGGCTATTTGGTAGGCAACCCGATGACGGGTGAAATCATTGATGAAAGCTCGAAAGTGTCATATGCTCATGGAGTTGGTATAATACCAGATCAATTATACGAGGTAATTAAACCCATCTAGATCCGTGTCCATATGTCTGCATGCACACACAAAGTTCTGCACTCCGAGTGATATGCATGCTACTCTCTGTCTGTCTGTCTGTCTGTCTGTCTGTCTGTCTGTCTGTCTGTTCTTCTTCATCCTGGAAGACGATATTGAAGCATTGCCAAGGAGAAGACTACAGGAAACCTACAAATACACCGTGTGCCCAAGCTCTGGGCACTTTCAACAATGTAAGAACAAGATATCCTACAAAATACATTCAAGCTGCGCACCAAGTCCCAGTTATTACTTGACTGAAGGTTATGTGGTGTTTCCCAATTCAAATTGCAGCTACGCTCCGAAGTTATGACGGCACAAATTTTGTTAGACGATTGCTATCTTGTATCCCCTGGACCAGGCACCCAGACGGACAAGTCAGCTAGTGCTATTCGGAAGATCCTAAGCGAGGAAACAGTGATCGTGACGGGGAGGCGAGTGAAGCATCCGCCACCTCGTGTACCAATTGGCTGTTATGTAAGTCGGCATATCATGCATACAGAGCTCTAGCATTGCATGGGCTCCCGTTCCTCCGTTAACCTAGTTGTATGCACGCCACAGATTCAGAGCTACACGTCTTACCTGTCGTATTTCTGGGCAAACCACGCGCTCACCCGAGACGCCCTGGGGATCAAGGACGGCACCGTGGACGAGTGGGTGAGGTGCCACGACGGCGACCTGCCGTACGCCGTGGACATCGGGAGCAGCATCAAGTACCACCGGAATGTCACCGTCAATGGCTACCGTGCGCTGGTGTACAGGTAGTAAGTTGCTATACTGAAACAGGGATATTTGATCAGCTGAAAGCCGGAACCTGACTGAGTTTTTGATTGGTGTCTACACTCTACAGCGGCGACCACGATGCGATTGTGCCGCACCTGGGGACGCAGGCGTGGGTGAGGTCGCTCGGCTTTCCCGTCGTCGACGACTGGAGGGCGTGGCATCTCGACGGCCAGTCTGCCGGGTTCGTCCTCGTTTCCTTCTAGTTGCGTTGCATGCTCTGTCGTTTTTTTTTGAGTAAATTCCGGTTTTTACCCCCTATTTTTACATTTTTGACAATAATTATCCCGTTTAGCGAGATTTCATCCCTTTTACCCAATTTAGCAAAAGTGTTGCCACAGTTTACCCAGTTTAATATTTTATAAGCATTCTGACACGCTGGTCCAATTGTGTTACCATGTTTGATATTTTTGGAGTTGATGGTATTCTCCTATTATTTATAAATCAGATCATTCTCCTATTATTTGCAACAGATCATGGAAATACACTACTATCAAAATTTATTAATATAGACTACAGATTGCTCCGGGTTCACATATTGAAAACAGGTTGAATGATGCTTCCCATTTATAGATAGCACCAGGACCTTATAGTACAGCTGAATAACATCACATGTATAGATAGCTTCACTAGTTCACAACTGCAGAAGCTTCAGAATACACCAAACAGTAGCAGTGGCACATACACCTTGTCAGTCTTCACCTTTCTTAGCTCCTACACCTTGCAAAGCTCTCCATCTAGGATGCTAACATCATCTTGTCCTCCATCACTTCCAGGAGCTGTCACAAACCACAAAAATCATCCTCCATCTATGCGCCTTACAACCACTGAAGGAGATCTAGGTTACTCTAAAATATATTCTGATAAAGGTTTATCAAACTGAAGAAGTAAAAGAATTCCAATATTCAAAATGTTGAAAAACACTTTAAATCAATGTACCTCAATTACAGAAGGGTGATATATATAGACATGATCTTCTAATAAGCATCTTAATTTTGTCCGAATTAAACGCCTAACCAGCAAATGCATGAGTCAGGAAAATTTTAGAATACACAAATTGCTGTAATAGAGATGGTCAAAATCATGTGGAATGGGGTATGACTGAGAGGGCTTGTTTGTTCACCAACCTCGCTGATTTGTTGGACCAGACGTCGCCATAGAACCGCCATCAACTGAGCACAGACTAATAGGGTCCCTGCTAATTCGCCAAAGTAGGAAGAAGAACTAAGCACAACCTGATGCGGTCACATACATGATTAGTTTTTTAAGTATATCAAATTCAGAGGACTACGCCGACATCAGCAAACTTGACGGGACCATCGGATTCCACGAGGTCATTTCTTGCCATGATGTTGTGGCCATACAGCCCGGCCCGAGGAGGTATGAAAGCGCACGGCCATGACCTCAGCACCCGCCACTGTCGCCGTCATCGTCGCCACTGCTTGACAATCCTGAGCAACGATTGGGGGCGAGCAACGCAAGCGAGAACCGAGTAGAGGCGAGCATGGCGCTCGCCGCTCGGCCGACTCGCACGTTGTGCGTTGGACGCGATGCGAGTGATCACCATCAGGCTGTCCTGGTCGGTAGAAGCTACGAGGACTGGTTCGGCAGGGAGAAAAATAGGCAATAAAAAACCATTGATGTGGCATGCCAGCTGGACCAGACAATTGAAACTTGTCGGTCAGAACACAAAATCTCGCTAAACAGGGTAAATTCTGGCAGAACTTTTGCTAAATGGGGTAAAACGGACAAAATCTCGCTAAATAGGGTAATTAGTGTTAAAAATGTCAGAATAGAGGGTAAAAACCAGAATTTACTCTTTTTCTTTCACTAGCTGACAGTGATTCCTCTGCTTTCTCTTACCTGGGTTGGGTTTGCATGCAGATTCACCATAACTTACTCTAACAACATGACCTTCGCGACCGTAAAGGTAGGAACATTTTCTGTGTGCTTATGTGGCGCGCGTGGCCATTGATGGGTTGCCCGATTTTAAGCTGCGGTTGCGGATTGGCGTTTGCAGGGAGCTGGGCACACGGCGCCTCAGTATGAGCCCGAGCGGTGCTACGCCATGTTCAGCCGTTGGGTACTGCACCAGCCACTCTAGTCCTCCTGTATGTGACATCATCTAGTAGGTCTAGCATACATACTAGCAGGCGGAAGGCGCGGCGAGAACCTGTGTAAATCTACAGTACAAATTTGGATAAAGATACAGAGTGGAGAATGGAGAGAAGAGATCCTTTGATAGCGAAGTAGCCAAAGAACTATTGAGAAACAACATGAATTACCATAAATTGTATGGTATCAAATAAAAAAAAGAAAAGTATATTTTTTGTCCCTCAACTTTTGACGAAGTTTAGATTTGATTCCTCAACTACAAAACCGGACAACTTGCATCCTCAATTCTTGAAACCGGACACATTTGGTCCCCTGACTCAACTGAAGTGGTATCCATGCCAACTCAGCATTGTTTTGACCGGGTCATGTCTAGGTGGCAATATTTCTATTTCTCTTCATCCATCTCCGGTCTAGACATTTCGTCAAACAATTGACGTGCAATCGCTGCACCAGGGCACAACCGTTGACGAGCCAGTGCTGCCACCATTGGTGGCCCAGCTAACTACTAAGTACCACGTACCACCACGTCTTCTCCTCGTGCCTGAGTTTTCGCATGAAGGCACGCCGGGAAGTGATGCGGCGCCGCCGGCGCGTGGGGTCCCAGGCGCTGAGCAACAGGAAATACGATGCGAGGGATGGATCCGGGTTGCGCTCGACGGCGTGGTGCGTGCCGAGCGTGAGCTTGCGGACGAGCGGTGTGGGCAGGTCAGCACCACCGCCTCTTCACCACGCTGCTGGATCCAAGCGTTGGACCGCGTCCGCGCGTGAAGGCCGGCGACGACGGCGAGTACCACCACAGCCACGAGGTGCCCCAGTCCGGCCATGACGGCGACGTGCTCCATCCAGGCGACGAGCAGGTCGAGCCGCGGCGATCCCCTCTCCTGGCGCCGCGCTCATGCTGTCTGAGATCACCACCAGCAGCAGCTTGCTCCCTGCCCGCAGACGCCGTGTAGAGAGCGAGGAATCGGGAAGTCAATTTGGGGTTTCTTTGCCACGTCAAAACCGGGATGAGCCAGCATCAAAACCGGTAAAAAACGGGAGGAGGATGAAACTTGTCTGGTTTTAAAAGTTAAAGGTGCAAGTTGTCTGGTTTGATAGTTGAGGGACCAAATCTAGACTCCGTAAAAAATTGAGGGACGAAAGTATACTTTTCTTAATAAAAAACTACTTAAAATTGAAGATAATGTCGTGGAGTCATGGTTAAGAATATGAAACTTGAAAGTTTGCCAAAGTCATATGTCTGTGGTAGAAGGATTGCACCATGTATTTCCATCTTTTTTATCGTGCTAATTTTTTTGTTTCCCCGTACTCTTAGTAATGCAGGCTTTATTTCCAGTACATTTTTTAATGTCCCTGGTTACTCTATCTAACAGTAAAAGAGCAACCAAGACATCAGTATCCATAGATGAAAGATGTGAAACTATAGTGATACTTCAGATCCATCTGAAAGATGTGCACCTCAATTTCCATATAGCAGATGCCCTAAAATATACGTGGGTGACCGTTCTCATTGTACCTGAATAGGAACCCAAGAACATCATGAAGCATAGACATATGTGGATTAAAATTGTCCATTATTATTTTAAAAAAGACCATCAATACACACTTTTTTCAACAACAAAAAAGGTTGACACCAAAGATGTTATTGGAATCCACAACATGTTGAGGAATATATATATACAAGTTTTACAGTGGTTGGGCTTTTTTTGGAGCCGTTCATTTGTCTCAATCTAACAGCACACATATACATAGTACTGGGTAGTACTCAGATGAAAGTATTCGAAAGTATTACAACTTGTGGGGCCGGTACTAATGACAATGTGTGGACACATTTTAATCTAGGGGCATTTTAGTCATAGGAAAATTTTCCACGTGCCGCCCCTCTCATCCAATCCAGAACCGCCGCCAGGGTCCTCTCCTCTTCCATCGCCATTACACAACCGCAACCATCTCCTCCCTCTCCTGCATTCCAGATCCACCACAGCCATCTCCTCCCTCTCCTGCATTCCAAATCCACCGCAGCCATCTCCTCATCCTCGCCGCCGCAACTTTGCTCGTCTCCTCTTCCACATCCACCCCCCTCTTCCATCCAAGCCAGCCTCGATGGAGCAGCAGATCGAGCAGATCGCCGGCGGCGAGAAGGCCAACTTTGCAATGCCGATGGAGGAGGAGATCGTGCAGATCGCCGGCGGCGACCATGTCAAGATGGCCAAGTTGAGCGAGATATGTTCTTGGTTTGACAACAGACGACAGATGTCCTGGACGACGCAAACCATGATCAAGCATATGAAGAAGAGTGAGAATTTGGCGCTCTGTCCCCCCGCCAGCAGTACCGGTGGAGTTCGTCAAGGTCCTCCTTTGGTCGATGGAGCAGACGAATCCCCCCAAGGAGTGGGTCAGGCGAAGGTGGTGGGCGTACAGATCCAGGGTAGAGCATCCATAGGATCAGGAAGCCACCCTGTATGAGGTGCCATTGGAGATTGTGCAGCCCCCAACCGAGTCACCGGAGACTTCGAAGCGCAAGAGGAGGAGGACAGTGGTCGCGACGTCGCTTCCCCGCTGTTCTCCACGCTTCCCTCGCCGCTCTCCTCGCCTGAACGCCGGCGGTAGCGTTGTTTAGGGTAAGATTCTTGATTTGTAAATCATTACTTGCCACTTGGTTAATTTGATTCTCTATAATATGTTGCTACTGCATGTATTTTCCCTTTCTTTTTAGCGTTCTTCTATCTATTCAAGTGCACATCTACTTCAATTCATAGCCTCTGGATGGTAGCTTAATTAGTTGCAAAGAATAAATTACGTTTCAGTACTGCAAGTTCAGTACACAAGTTCAGTAGACAGTTTTACAGTGGTAGACTCGGGTAGACACTAAAATATTCCAGTGCCGCAAGTTCAGTAGACAGTTGTAGCTTCTGATACATTTCAGTAGTTCATTTTCAGTACACACTGGTAGACACGGAAATATTTCAGTAGTTCAATTTCAGTACAAACTGGTAGACACTGAAATATTTTAGTAGTGCAGTTTCAATACACACAGGTAGACAGTGAAATATTTCAATTGTGCAGTTTCAGTACACATAGGTAGACAGTGAAATATTTCAGTAGTGTAGTTTCAATAGAGACAGGTAGACACTGAAATATTTCAGTATTGCAATTTCACTAGTGCAATTTCGGGTAATGCACGTATCTACTAATGCATACCTTATAAGTTAAATCCACATTTTAGTAGTGATATATGTCAAATAAGCATCAATATGATTGTCAATGTTTGTACCATTGATGGTAGTATAATAAATCATGAAATAAGGCAAAAAAATGCTTAGAGGTATGCAAGACTAAAAATATGGGGTGAATAAGAGGATGGTTTAATTGAAATAAGTATGACCTACTGAAATGCTCAGAGCTCAGCAAGGCTAAAAATACGGGTGAAAGTTAAAATGCCTCCCAGATTGAAAGTTTTCTTCTGGCTTGTATTGCTACATAGCATCCTCACCAAGAATAACTTGACAAAAATGGTTGTGGCTTGGAGATAGCAATTGCTCTTTTTGTGGAAGAGATGAAGACGTTGACCATCTTTTTTTCCATTGTTCTGTTGCAAAGATGTTGTGGATGCTGATGAAATGTTCTTTTGGGATGCATGACAGACAACATGGAAAATATATTTGCCGTGTGGATTGGGAAATTGGATAAAAGTGATACGTGTCTTATGATGGTTGGCATTTATGCTACTTTCTGGAGTTTATGTAAACTTAGAATTTATGATACTGA